AGGGAAAGGTTTTCTTCCCTAATGACACTTCTCCTTCCTGTTAATATCTTAAGTAAAGAACACATAGTAGTGATTCTATTCTTAAAAGAAACTCTCTGTGCCACAATTAAAGGGCACTATCCTCCCCTCCATTCTTCTGCCATCACCTCACGAATACAAAGAACAAAGCAATTAGGAAGGCTAAGAAAGATCCTCTTCCTCAAAAACACAGCAAGTACGTAGTTGAGTTGTTCAGATTACTGTCAACAGCTTCTACCTAGTTCACTGTCATTTTAAGGCATGACAGTTTCCATGTGGGGTTGCTAAAGGACACATTGTTGAAGCAGTGTCTGTTAGCTCTGACTGTAACTGATCTCACCAGTCTCACTGGAGGCTCCTGTCTACCATATTGCATATCTTCCTGTTGACCTCATGGCAAGCCTGCAAGCTAGGTTTTACTCCTATTTTCTTCTCAGTAATTTATACGGGCCTGGTCACAAGGGCTCTGCTACTTTACAGCACATGTGTATGACTGCCTGACACACCACCTGGGGAAGGGGGCAGGAGCCCATAACGTTTTGCAGTTTTCCAATTCAAAAGGACCTCACAAGCCTCTTGTGCAATTACAGCCTTTTAAAGCTACTTCCTGCCATGCTTACAGCACAGACAACTAACCTAGAATAGTTTTGCCCGATAGTGTCCCTGAAAAGAAACTGGGTCCCACTGAAGCTGCTGTTGTTCAGCTGTTTATCCATGGTTCCCCTTTCCTGTGCAGAAGTTATCCCTTCATCATGCCAGTACAGCTATTTGCATGGTTGCATTCTCTGCTACACTTGTCAAATGATCTGGCATAAACCAAAATTACTTTATGTTGTAGCTATTTTAAGAGTAGATAATTTCTCCAATGAGCCTCTCTCATTGAAAGAGAGGCTACATAAACAGTGCAATCAATTTAACTGAGAGGACATGAATGTTTAATGGAGGAAAAGGGAGATGGAGTGCTCTTAAATGAATCACATATTGCTGTATTAAGAAGGAAAAGAACAGAGTTCTGTAGGGAGAGAGGGAGGGACTGACCAGTGACAGGAGGCTGAACAAGCTTAAGGAAGATCCTTGGAGAGCAGACTGCAAGAGCTGACCTTTAACTGTTCTGTTTGTTAACAAAACTGAGATGAACTGCACAGTCCTGAGGTTTCATGAATGTTCTTTTAGGGCATGTACTTCCTAGTCTATGTTTTTTAGGCTTTCTGTACTTCATTTTAAGCCAAGACAAAACTATAACTGAAACTGAAGTCTAGATAAAATGTGGCTGTTTCATTGTTTCTGTGTCAAAATAGAGTGTTCAGCTAACTGCATACAATTCATACAATTGCAATGTTTTCCAATAATTGAAAGTTAAAATATAAATTAATTAATGTTAAATTTAAACTGGGCTCATGTTCTCTTGAAACTCGTGAAAAATATGAAACTTTTCAGAGCACTAGTTTCAGTTGTGTTTACGTCAGTATGTAAATCCACAAGTTTACTAATATATTTTTAACACCTTTGTGTTTTAAAATATTTATGGAAACTATTATAAAAATAGTACCAAAAGATCTATCCATAATGTAATCAAGGATTATTCCCTAAATTGTAGGTAAATTTAATGTTTGAGCATACCAATAAATATGAAAGAACTAATTCTCACTTACTTCAAGACACAAAATCACTCATCAGCTGTTATAGTTTCCTATCTGCCCTCAGCTTTCATGTCTGCTCCCCTTCCTGTTCTGCATGCCTGCCCTCTCCCATAGAGTTGCTCATCCCTTCATTTCCTGGCTAAGTGGACACAAATATTACTTTGACATTATTGTAAATTAGATCTCTGAAAGAAAAAATCTGAGCCTCAGATCTGTTTCTAACAAAGTATTCTTCTCCTATGGAACTAGCACATGTAATCTCATCCAGTGTCCCTGACATTCCTCTGGCAAAATGAAAAGGCTTTGAAAGGCAAATCAGTTATATGGTTTTCACACAAGTTTGGGGCTAAGCTGGAATCCAGCCCTTAAAATGAAAAATTCACATCCTTATGTGGGAGTTGCTTCCATAGTGAAAGCAGAGACTTAGCAACACTGCACTTTCCATTACAAAGCTTATTTGTAATACCAGTGACTATTCAGTCTTTCTGTCTATAGATAGATTTTTTTTTTTTCTTTCAGGTCGTGACAAACTGCTTCGTTTGTGGCATCCTGCTATTAATAGTAGGCCTAAAGCAAAGCTATCTGGACACCAACATAGTATTGTGGAAATTGTGACAAATGAAAAAGATCAACATGTCATCAGCCTTTCCTCTGCAAAGGTAGAAACACTTATTCTTAACTTCATGGAAATCAATGCTATAAATGCAAGTAGGAATCTATTTTTGAGTAAGTACTTCTGATAGTATCTTGTCCTAATCTCATTGCTTATCAGTTCATTTATTTTAATAAAAAGGTGGAGGTTTAGCTTACAATTTCCAAATTATTTTATATTGAGAAACAAGACTGGAATGGAACTATTTGACATATTTTCTTTCTGAGTATGACAAAAGAGTACATACAATAGTAGATATTAACATTCTGGTAATTTCTGTATTACTTTAGCAACTTTCAGAGTTATAACATAATCTGTACCTGAATGCTTCATTCAGTGGTGATCACCTGCAAAGAGTTCCTACCCTTCATTTACCCTATGTTGACCCTGTCAGCCTATTAAATCCATAAATGGAGTTTTGCTTATACTGGTGACTCTACACATCATGTTCAACTATTGACCTGTTTCTGAAGAGTGTCTTTTACACGGCTTACTGATCCAAAACATTGTTCATGAACAGGAATGTTGATAAAATCAATAATAAAACTTCAACCAAATATTGCAAGATTCTGCTGGAAATGGATGGTTTTCCTTTAAGTCATCAGTGAAATCATGGCATCAGTTTATCTAATTTGCCAAAATGAGACTTTTCAGGAGAGAATAAAAGCTTCTAAAAACATTTGCAAAAATAAGTGAGAATCCCCTGAAGGAGTAGTTATGAATGGCTACGGAGCTCTTTCAAGAGTCACCCTGTGCAATATTTTCAATACTCAGCAGTATTCAATATTTTCATCAACATCTGCAATGATGGAATAGAGAGCATACATACTAAATTAACCAGTTGCCCCAAACTGGTTAAGGCTGTAGGCCCTGGTCAGCAGCATTAGAGTTCAGAATGGTCATTAAAATGGAAGGTATGATCTGTGGAAAAGACCTCCATAGCAATAAGGACCTAATATAGTTAGTCTACTGAGATATCCATCTATGTCAAAGGTTTCCAGCTTTTTGTTGGGTTATGCAGGAAATATTACTGAGCTATTTATTCTGTCCATGCTGCTCTTCTGCCATAATTGCTTACCATTGTTCATTGAGGTGCCAGAAATACCATGTTTTCATGTCTTTAATCCTATTCCTAAAATAACCCCTCACCCTTCTAAAAGAATTACTAGCTGAAAATAAGCCATCAGAAATCTCCCATCTTCACATAATCCTAGAGCCATAACCATTCCCCCTTCCTCAATGCTATCAATCTATACCTGTCTGTTCTGTAGGTAATTCTGTACATTTACTACAGGCATACATTACTGCTGAATTAAGGAGGGTTTTGACAGCTTGCAAGCTACACATGTAGGAAAAATGGAATAAGACACAAGACATGACTTAAGGGCAATGAATGTACATGAAGATATTTATAGAAAAGCAACTAAAAATAAAGCCCCTGGGGCAGTAAATGACTAGAAGATCTCTTGAGGTCCCTTGTGGGCCTTTCTGTGATTCAATAGGCTCACTTAGAGGGAAGAAAAATCTATTTTACAAGTCTCCAAGTATGTGGACACTTGATCTTAACTAAATGTAGCTGAGTTGTGCCAAGGACATCAGTAAGATCACACGTACATGAAAATTAACATGTGAAAGTATGTTTTAATTTAAAACTGTGTGTCCTTAAACAGTGCTGTGAGTCATAAGGCAGAAATTACACTTCTCAAAAATAAAAAGAAGTAGAGAGAAATTCCTAGACTTTCAAAAGTCAAGTAAGTCTTGTGGTCATAGTTGAAAATTATATCAAAAAGGAAGTGGAAATAGGGAATATTCCTGTGAAATATTTAGGAGCCTTTTAGAGAAAAAATTCACCAAATCATTTTCTTGTTTAAGTAAGTTAGAATTAATATATTGCACTTAACTTATGGCTTTCACTCCCTAGAATTGCAACACATAATTTCCTATGACCTGAGATATTCCTTTATAAAGAACAAGAGTTAATGTTGGACAGATGGCCTTTAAGATATTGTGTGAGCTACATTCCCAGGGACTAATATCCATGGAAGTAGAAAGCTAGAAAGCATATCCTTCCTGACTGTATTTAAGAAAATCAGTCAGTCTTTTGGTAGTCAGTTTTCTTTGGTACGTTTTGTACATAGTATTAACTTTCTATACTAACAAAGTGTAAACATGTTTTAAAACAAGGATTCAAATAAAGAATTTTACTACCTTGCTTTGCCCTCATTTGACCTCAAAGGACTTTTGACACTGAAAAGCCATATGCAAATGTACTCATAAGACTATCTCCAGAGCCCATATGTAATTACAGAGTTCAAAAGTAAGGGATCACTTTGGCTAGAAGGCCAGTTGTTAAATGTGCCAAGGATCTATTGGAGCTACACAGTATTTTATTCAAGTTATTTTTAAGATGCACGTGCTTTATTTTAGAGGACTCTAATTACAGAGTTCAAAAGTAAGGGATCACATTGGCTAGAAGGCCCGTTGTTAAATATGCCAAGGATCTATTGGAGCTACACAGTGTTTGTTTTATTCAAGTTATTTTTAAGATGCACATGCTTTATTTTAGAGGACTGTTCTGCTTGCTTTTCATCTCTTGCTGGATGGTCTGACTGGATTTCAGTCGACCTCTTCTGACACTGCCCAAGTCTGTTCACATGACTTAACTTTGTGGGTTACACAGGTGATTCCAAAAATTCAGATTACGAAGGAGGTCACTTGTGCCTACAGAGTAGTCCCATGTGTATGTGATAGGGGAGGGAGGGAGGAAGGAAAAGGGTGGACCAGAGCTCTGAAAGGGTTGAGGGTTATAACATAAGTTTAGGCAGCCCTTAGTAAATGCGGACCTCCAGTATGAAGAGGCTTAGTGTCTTGGACAGTCTACTTAAAAACCTCACCTTTCTAAGTAGAAGAATAATCTCTATTTGCAGTGAACTTTTGCTCGATCCCACTAAACGATAAACAAGCTGAAAGTCTCTAATTCTGTAAATTAGTAATCACAAAAACAAGGTTTAAGAATACTGCAGAAACTGCATGAGTTACATTCATTCAGCAGAGTATGATAAATGTGCAGTCCATCTCCTGAATGAACTGGAGAATTTGACTGGTAATTGTTTTAACATGAGCCTTGCTACGCTGCTTGGTGAAATTACTTTGCTGAAAAGTAAAATGCAAGTATTATGTGGGTTATTTTCTTTAAATCAGATTCTTATGCACCACAGTCTTCATCATGATAGCTCGTAATTTCAGGCTGTGTTTAAACTGTAAATTTCAGGAACTCTGTGCAGCTTCCTCATCTTGGTGTAAAACTTGGCTGCATCCCCACTTAGTATTAGCATAAGGATCAGTGTACACACCATTCTCTTGCACCCTACATCCCAGCAGCTATCTCCACTGAAATGAACCTAGGCATGAAAAAAAGAGAGATTCACAGCACAGTTTGTCAAGGTTCCCATCCAGATTATCAGGGAGCAAGGACTCTGGGATGAACTGCAGCACACCATTGTTTCAGTGCATTGTACAGTTCAGATATAGTGGTAAAATCTACGTGTACCATTGTGGCACTTGACATGGGTACTCTGGTCAAGCTTAGCTATAGACGTTGTGCTCTCAGCACTGCCTGTGGTAAAACAAAAAAAAAAAAACAAAACTGAGGCTCATGCATTTGAAATCAATTATTCTTTTTCTGTCAGTCCCCTGTATATAAGGTAATCTTAAAGGAAATACTAATTATTTATCTAGTGCTCTAAACTAAGAATAAAAATCTGAAGTACAGATCTACTCTAATAGAATTAAAGTAATCTGGATGGCCTTGATATAGATATTCTTCAAGAAACAACAGACAAGATCACTTCAGCCATCCTTCATTCTTAACCAGGCAAAGTGGTGTTATGCCATCTAATGCATAGACAGCTGGACATAAGTCCAGATCTTTCTACAATCTCTTCTAAAAGGAGAGGCGGTGCCAAAATCTAAAATGTATATGCGTGGTGTCTTGGTTTGCAAGGAGAAAAATAGTCACTGCCAGTGCTGAATTAGTCGCTAGTTCTCACATCTTGCTGGGATCATGAGATGATGTGAAACAAGTATCAGCCAAATACATCCAGTGAAAGAAAAATGTCAAAGGTTTTCCTTATTTTTCCCTAGATCAATTCTGTTTGTCAGCATGGGAGACATCTGCTGTCTGAGCAGTGCTCTCTTCTTGCAGCACTTTGGGGGTTTTTTTGTAGTAGATCTCAATAGACCGGCAGAGAGAGCACACTCACTTGAGTGTCAAAAATCAGTGCTGTATTTGGTGGCAGACAAGCCAAGAACACATTGCATTAAAACCTGGAATTCATGTGAGTTGTTTTGAGCAGGCTTCTTTATTTACACTGCAGTATTTTGGCCGGTGTGCAATACAGCTTTCTGGAACACACCGAAGAAACCTTCTGTGATATTTAATTTAACCAAAAACAGATTGCTCTGAGCCAGTAATAACAAAACAAACTTCTAATTATGACAACAATTAAGAAACTATTTTGGAATTTGAACTCAAATTATGGTTCTATTTAAGCAAATTACGATCTCTTAAACTAGTCCAGTACATGAGGACTTTGCTCCAATATTATAAGGATTTCTTGATGGAACAAATTATTAGTAAAAATCTGTATATGATGTATATATTGAATTCTCTTATCAGAAAAGTTAAACTTACTTTCTTGGTTTTATAACATAAGAATACCTACAAATTATGCAGAGCCATAGATGTGTAAATAATTTCTATATTTCCTTTAGTCATATGAATTAGTATTTCCACAGTAGAGTCAATGAGGAAGAAGGGAGGGCACTGGCAGGGATTTTCATAATTCTGTGCTGCTGGACTTGCTTCAGAATACAATATTCCTGGTAATAAATAAATTTGTTCCTGATCTTACAGGTTGTGAAGTCCTTAAAGTTAATGGTGTGCATAAGTGCAATTACAGTTGTACTCCACAAGCATGTCTTTTTCTTCAGGTATTCAGTTAAGTG